GTATCATTTATAATGAAGAGCTAATAAATAAAAATACCCAATAAGTAAAAATTAAACAATGTTCTTAGATTTTTGTCAGATATTCCTGCCTCCCTGAGACTGTGAGCTTAAGGTCTGCTCTGTTTTTATCAAGAAGGGAGCTACGGAAAACCAACTGACGTGCTCCATTTAGGTAATGAGGACGAAGGAAAGAGAACTGAAAAGAGAAGGTTCTCTGTCTACACGGTCCAGTGTCGCTTAGCGTAAAGTCTCTGAACCACCAGAAGTCGTTTTAGGTACTGCTTAAAATCACCTTTGTGCTGGCACACTTAGGGAAACACTGCTCTCTTCACTTTGATTTACATCACCAGAAACTTATTTGAGATGAAGTCTGTTTTGTGTTGTGTTGCCTGGCATCTTGCAGGTTGGAGAAATTAAAAAACAGAGAAAAGATGATCTACACACATGCAAGCACAGGCTAGAAGTCTGAAAAACACTCCAGGTCTCTTCCTGCTTGTGCACGGAGATTAATATGGCTTCCCCTCACCCTTTCCCACTTCTCTTTGGAACAGTGACTCTGGAGAAAGCAGAAATCAATTTGCTCTAATTGAGGGACTAAATCTTTCCAAAAGAGACTTTCTTGGGCAACAAGACAAGATAGCAAGAGGCATGATCATGCTCCCAATATGCTGCTATTCATGCAGGAACAGTGTCTTCAAAAAAAGAAAAAAATCCATAGTCATTGTCTGTGACCACCGCTTCTTCTTGGCTGGGTTCAACTAGTCGGTCATTACGATGAGAATGAGATAATCTCCTATACCACACGCCACTACTCCCATCAGAGGAGAAATATCGCCCTGTCTGGCTCTAATCACTGAGGGCCCCGCTCAGGCAGAGCCCCGTCGCTAAATCACCCTGAACGCAGATGGCCGCAGTCGGTACAGATTGACCAATTAAGGCCTTTTGACAGCTTGTGGTAAAGTTGGAGCAATTATTTAGGGGCAATTATGCTCTTCCTGTCCTTATTAGAAAGTGCGTTACGCAAAATCAAAACTGTTGTCTTATTTTACCACACTGTCTTCTTGGATGAGGACATTCTAAACAAAAAGTCACAGACTTTTAGAGCTGGAAGGGACTGTAAATGAAGATGATGATGGTTATGATGGTAATTACAGGGAACAATCGCTGAGCCCCTGCTCTCACACGGAGCTCCATCTTTCATATATACCTGACAGCTACAAGACCATGACAAACTAGGTATCACGGCTACATTTTATAGAAGAAGATACCAACGCTCAGAGTGGGCGATGTCACCTGCCCAAGGAATATAGTTTATACATGATGAAGCCAAGGTCTAAGACTCACCCTGCCTGACTATAAAAGAGCAGGCTCTTCCTACTGCTCCAAACCCCATCTCTGCCTCAGTCAGTCCCTTCATTCTACCCAGAGTGGAGGAAGGAGAGCCAGAGAAGTTAAACATTTTACCTAGAACCATACAGTGAGTCTGTGACATGGCAGGGCTATAACTCCATTCAGGGATTTTTCCAGCTAGGGCAGGAATGGCAAACTGGCTTCATTCAAGTGCCTATCCTGATGGGTTTGGAATGTATACCTAAAGTTGTGTTAAGAAAGATTCTGAGGCTCTATCCTTGCTCAGCATCAAAATACCAGGACTGAGAAGGGATGTTTCAGCATCTGATGCGGCAGGAAGGCAGCAAGCCCTAATGCCACATACTCATCACCCCTATTCCAGGGGCTGTCCTGATGGTAAAACAATAAAGAATTGTTTTTGCCCTTATTACCCCTAATTCAGTGATGAGTCAGAGCCATCCAACAGGGCCTGAGGCTCGTTCTGAAGGAGGTGAGCCCCCATCATCGCAAGGCATTGAGCCAGTGTTAGACCCGCTTATCAGACAGCTGACAGGCGGAGTCTGTGGCACACACACCTGGTGCCCCACCCACACCCCCTCGGCATTTGTTTTCCCCCGTGTGCCTGCCTGCCTGCCTTCTACCTGCCAACATCTGCCACTCTGCCACGACTGCAGTGTTGGTGGACAACCGCCCCAGCTGCCTTGCCCCTCAGGTGGGGTGACCCCGGGCACGTGCTCTATGCTGGCTCCAGAACTCTGCCCCTTCCCATGAGATGATTCTGAAGCCAGGGGAGACTGTACTTGTAACCATTGCACTGTAAGAGGAGAAAAGCCACCGGGAGTGATGCAGAAGGACACTGCAACTTCACTTGTATAATTCCAGCTCCTCTACCAAGGTCACTCCCAATAAGTTATCTCAGTACTGCACACACAGTATCTTCTCAGGAAATTCTTGAGTATCCCACTGGACTCCTCCCAAAGCCAGTACAAGGAGGATGGGGCAGGTATCACCACCTCCAGTGTTACTGGAGAGGAAATTGAGGCCTCGGGAAGGGAAGACTTTGCCCCAAGTCTCTCAGCTGGTGAGGTCTGAGTGAGGGCAGAACTCAGGGTCCGTGCTTCCCACGGCTGTCCCTGTATGTGCTGTCCTGCGCGGGTGCACACACACAGACACACACGGGCTTCTCTGAGGCCCCTGTGGCCCTCCTGGCTCCTGTCTTGAAATGGAGCCTCTCCCTGCTGTCTGGTTGGAAGGGCTCTTAGGGCTCCAGGGATGGTTCTACCTGGTTGTGGCACAAGGAGGAGTTGCACTCGGAGCAGTTGTCATGGGTTGAATTGGGTCCCTCCAAAAGATACGTTGACATCCTAACCCCTGGTACTTGTGAACGTGACCTTATTTGGAAACAGGGTCTTTGCAGATGCAATCAAGTTACGGTGAGGTCATACTGGATGGGGGTGGGCACTAATCCAATGACTGGTATATTCTGAAGAGGAGAGAAGTTTGGACTCACAAAAACATGGAGAGAGCCCCACGTGATGACGGAGGCAGCGAATGCCAAGGGTTGCCGGCACACCAGGAGCTAGGAACAGGCCGGGGAAGATCCTGCCCCGGAGCCTTCAGAGAGAGCCGGACACTTTGGTTTTGGTCTTCTAGGCTCCTGACCTGTGAGAGAATAAGCTTCTGTTTGAAGCCACCCAGTTTGTGGCTCTTTATCAGAGCAGCCCTAGGAAACCAACGCAGGAGTGGTGAGATGCTCGCACACTGGCACTGTGACAGGGACACGGCAGGCACAGGGCCCCCGGCCTAGGAACTGCAGCGGCCAGGACTCTGCCCTTCTTCAGTCTCGTCTGCACGTAGCAGGTCAAGCGGCCTCTAAAAAGGGCATCTTGTCACCCTTCCGCTCCCCTGCTTAAAACCCTTCGGTGGCTTCCCGGCTCTTGGAAGAAGGTCCAGTAATCTTACCAGGGACGACAAGGCTGTGCACAGTCAGTGATGTC